TACTACCGAGCGTACCGAGGAAAAGCTGGGTTCGAATGGAGAGTGTCGGTTCTGGTCAACACTCCCCCTCACACACCATCTTTTACTCCCTTTAAACTTCATTTCCATCTTTAAATTCTTCTCTCAAGTAGAAATCCTTCCAGATAATTTAGAAATGTCTGTGTAAAGTGCTCATCCACCGCCGTGTGGATAATTGATCATAATTGTACAGTTTTCATTAATGTCTGTGGTGAAGCAACGGAAAATCATTGTTACTGTTTTACAGTTAATAAAATTGGCTCTATTTCCGGTATATTTGATAGTTCCTGATTGGTCAATATCAACCAGACAGGGGTGTGGTTTGTGACGTAAGAGGTTACTAGAAGTCAGAAAACAGCAAGAATTGTTATGGAACAGATTAAACTGTTCTCAGAGACAGAGAGAGTTTTGTTTTGGCGAGTTTTAGAAACAGGTGCCAACTCCTCCGTTGACGTCTGAGAGGATGTAAACAAGACAGTTGTTCCAACACATGTCTGCTTCGACTCCTGACCTTGGAAAATGCACACTTGCTCATTCAAAGACAGAAATCAGAAAATGCATAAAAATCTGTAACAGGCCTTAACATGAATTCTACTTTGCATAAGCAACTAAAAAATCATTGTTACTGTTTTACAGTTAATAAAATTGATTAGTTCACTGTAACATCTAAAATGTTTGAACTAAAACACTTTGATTATCAAACATTTGTAAAACAGGAATGATAATAGAAAAGAGAGTGTTCTTTCACTTGAATTTTCAAGAAAGAAAGTCTCAGGATGGGTGAACCTGTATTTCTGGATTCAAATCAATGAAATGACAGTTTCTGTCCCACAAGGTTCTTAAGGTCAAGGGTTTTGACCTTAGGCTTAGTTTTGACATCAGGTTAAGTTCACTACAGTACCGAGCCTCAAAATTACACCTGATCCAAGCAGAACTGGACTATAGGACAGCCTTGGACATCTGCCGCCAGGAGCAAGGAGAGCCACACCCACAGACTCTTGTCCTGATGAGCGATCTGGCCACCATCTTGGACCTGCAGGGATGTCATGATGAAGCCCTGGTTCTCGTCCAGCAGGCAGTGGAGCTGAGCCAGTCTGTGAGATACCCAGACCATCACATGTTGCTGGGAAACATGGCTGGCATCCTACTGCACACAGGTCGACTGGAGGATTCAGTCCAGTTCTACCAAGAGGCCCTGGAACTGGCCCGGCAAGCTGGAGACCAGGAAGCTGTAGACAGGGTTCAAGAGGGACTGAAGGGGGTGAAGAAGAGGAAGAGGGAGATGGAGCCAGAGGGTGTAGCACAGTGACTGTGGGTGGCGTTTCTAAGATCCATGATCCAAATCAATTGGTTTTCTGTGATCCCGGCATCATTATGTGCTAGTATGTGAGATTTTTTTTTCATTATCACATTGTTGACCTTCAACCAGAGGTTAAAAGCATTTTAGGAATTTTTTTTTTTTTGCCCCCAAACCCTATGTGTTATTTTTCACCACTTTTTATTGTCTCTCCAAACAGGAATCACTTGTAAATGAGTCTTAAAGGCTCATTGTGACTTATCTGTTTAAATAAAGGTTGAATGAATGTTTGTTGGTCTGGATCTGAAAGTCCCACAATATCTTAGCCCTTCCATTCTCCACCACCCTTGATGGAGTCTCTCACTTGGACTTTTGGACCTGTAGTCCATACTTGCCACAGATTGTTATGTACACTATCCCTGTCACTTGGACATAGTTTGTGTTATTTGTTTATTATTTATTTATTTATTTATTTATTTTTACATTCAACACCCTTCTACATCATCATCATACATCCTGCTGTTATGTTCAGAATTATCTTGAAGGGGGGCAATTGCACAATCTGCATCTTGGGTTGTGTATGATTGTGATGAACTATTTTTTCTAAATATCACTGGATTCTGTTTTCTCATCTTCTTACATCTCATTCTCCCTTGAAAATTTTATTCCAAGGTGTTGGAAAGAAGGGTCTGACTGACTGTGGGGCCTTAAGACTCTTGCACAAAACAGTTATGTAAAATAGCTGCACAAACCAGTCCATTTTTAAGCTGTTCAAGAGCTTTTAGCTGGAAAAGATACATCAGAGGATGACCTTGTAAACTGGTCCATTAGTGAAGTAGATCAAGAGCCTTTAGTCACTAGAGACAAAATAAGACTTGCTACTAAGAATATCAAAAATGGAAAGGCTGTCGAATTGGACCAAATTCCTGCAGAAACACTTAAAGTTGACGAGAAAGAAATTATACATACAGAATGGCGAGATGGGGAATGGCTAGATGACTGGACCATATCAGGAGTGCTTGCTCAGGATGGGAGACTGCAAGGAAGTGAAGATTCAACTTGTCTGCTGGCTTCCTTAGATAGAGAACTTTACTAATTGGCTTTTCTATGTATGTAAATGTTCCTGTAAAGTTGGTGCTATATAAATAAATTGAATTGAAAATCATCACAATGCCCAAGGAGGCTGGCATTCAAAACTGAGCAAAGCACTGGACACTTAGCCTTAATATCCACACTTCAAAAGTTCTCCTAGAAGTCATTCGTCAACGCATCACACCAATTAATAAAAACAAGGTAGCCAATGAACAGTTTGGGTTCATCACAGGAGAAAGCACAATAGATGCATAACCTGCTTGAGAAAATTGCAGTAAAACAAACAGAAGAGCTGTGGTTGATGTATATAGATTATACAAGAGTATTTGATAATGTGAAGTAAAGAGATCTCTGGAAAATACTGATGGAGTTTGTTTTGCTGAAACATCTGGTCTGGCTCATACACGTGGTGTACAAGAATGCCAAGGGGACAGTTACAGTTGAAAAATAACTACAAAATTGAAACTTAATCATGCAGAAACAAAGGTTATGATAGTGAATGGTGAAGGACCAGTGTTGATAGAGGAGGAACCCTTTGAAGATGTTTGGAAGTTAACTTATCTTGGCTCTGTGATTCCCCTGACAACATCTCTCAAAATGAAATCAACATCCGACTAGCCCTTGCAACAGGAGCCACTTCTGATCTCATCATCTGGCGTTCCAAAAAAATCCCTCAGCCATTAAGGATCAAGTTGGCAATATCGTTAATCTGGAGTATTGGTACTTATGTATGTGAGAGCTGAACTATTAGGAAAGTGGATGAAAGAAAGATAAACACTCTGGAAATGTGGATATGGAGGTGAATCCTGGATACAGTGCAAAACAAATGAATGGGTATGACAACAACTGAAGATCACAGAAAGATGTGGCCTGCTGCAATCAGTCGTACAAAGAAAGAAAGCCAAACATGGACATTGGAACAGACGTCTAGCAAGTCTAGTGCTCTATACCACTGAAGACGAAGCAGGAAGCACAAACAAGACAGGGCAAAGGAACATGAGCTCGATTGACAACATCTCCACCTTGATGGTAGAAAGGCTCCAAAAATCAAAGGAGGATGCACAACGATGCCAACAGCCATCAGGCTATAGCAACACATGACTTAGCCATTCTTAAATCACAGATGAAGCAAGCCGCATTCCTCTCAGATGTGAGCTTGGAGTAATGAAGTGGGTCAAGTGAAACAGAAAGAGGTGTGAAGCAGAACTCAGCTGGGCTAATGTGGAACACAACACATTAAATGTGTGTTGGATCTCTCCCTTGTGTCAGTCAAACAGTGATGTCATCAATCACTTTACTGAACCGAGGCACCACAGCTTACTTTTTCACGTCAGCCAGCCTGATTCTGCTACTACAACAGAGACACAACAGAGGTGGGCTGTCTTTGACTCCCCTCACCACTTCAGTATGTGTTCTGAATGGACAGAGGTGGCCAGAACATCTATCAGTCCCGGACTGAGGCATCTTGTGAATGTGCCTTTATATTCAGGAGATACAATTTGGCTTAATCTTGGTCATGAAACAGTGGCCCAAATAAAGAGCTCCTGGGATTTTGAATGTTCAGTCCTTATGTTTTGCGTATCTGAAGAATGTTTTGGACTGTATGGGAAAAATAGACGTGGGCAGCACGGTGGCGCAACTGGTAGAGCTGCTGCCTCTCAGCGAGCAGGTCCCTGGTTCAAACCCCGGTCCAGGGGCCTTTTCTGGGTGGAGTTTGCATGTTCTCTCCGTGCATGCGTGGGTTTTCTCCGGGTACTCTGGTTTCCTCCCACAGTCCAAAAACATGCATGTTAGGCTGATTGGTAACTCTAAATTGTCCCTAGGTGTGAGTGAGAGAGTGAATGGTTGTTTGTCTCGTTTGTCTCTATGTGGCCCTGTGATGGACTTGCGACCCATCCAGGGTGTACTCCGTCCCTCGCACAGTGATTGCTGGACATGGGCACCAGCGACCCCCGTGACCCAAAATGGAATAAGCGGGTAAAGAAAATGGATGGATGGATGGATGGATGGATGGATGGATGGATGGGAAAAATAGACAACTTTACATGAAAATGTATCTTGTCCTAGTGAAGATTTTAATTAGAGCTTGCCCATATTCCTCTTTACCTGCTTCCACCCTGCTGATTTGTGACATTTGTGATGTTGATGGAAGGTCAAATGGGATGACCGAGGGGAAAAAAAACAGCCATCTAGAGCATGCCAGTGGTATAGTCTAATTACCATTTTAATTAGACCACAATGTTGTTAACTCAGGGCCATCCTCAGAGCCATGTCTGGAACAGACTCATTACACTGACTGTTAGCCTTCCTTCGCCTTCCCGGAGATTTGTTACCTGAGAAAATGTCATTCTCCAAGAGAAGATGACATTTGGATGGACTAAATTCTCTGGTGTGTGTAGCTGCTTGAAACTAAAATGTGGCAAACAATTACTGAGGGGAGATAGGACTGAGCTGCTTTGAGCTTCAAGTCCAGAGCCCAAAACAAATTAACATCATTACTGGTATAGACATCCATAATATGAGATATCAAACCTTTTTTTTATTTTAAAAAGTGTTTCTTTAGATCTCGTAACCACTAGAAAAAATGTTATTTAATGAAACTTGCAGAAAGTACGAACAGCTGCAACTGATTCAAGTCAGTCCAGTTTAAAATGGCCACCATAGCAAATTGAACAAAAAAAAAAAGCTAAAATAAGCATTTTTTACAGATATTTACTTGAAATTGTATTTTTATTTGATGTTTATGTTATGTGTTGTGGTTGTAGTTAATACTGATTACAACACATTCTGAGCTCCAACGGATTGCATAAAATCTGTGTTTAAAATGTTGCTGTTACCTAGTTACCTACCTAGGCAACACTCACTCATCTGATCTGCCACCTCAATTATTTGTTGACTCTGCTCCTGTGTCAGATAAGCATGAGATGCTAAATTGTTTCAACAAACATTTTGTTGCCTCCAGTTCCTTGTTTGATACAGTTTCTAAAGGTAAATCACCTACTCCACTAACAAGTCAAACCTCAGAAAACCATGCATTCTATTTTTCACCATTCTGTCAGTGAGGTTATTAAAAGCTCTGGATACTAGATAGTCTGCAGGCACTGATCCTCCTTATTTCTTATTTGAGACATACTTATTTCTTATTTCTTATTTGAGACATGCTGTCCTCCTTATTTCTTAAGTCTAGCTGCACAATTGATAGCAGAACCATAGTCATACATTTTTAATCTGTTTATACAAAATAATACTGTCCCAGATGCTTGGAAAACAGCTTTTGTGCTAACATTATTGAATGGAGGAGGCCCCACTATAATGAACAATTATCGACCAATCTCCAAACTCTGTATTTTAGCTAAGGTTTTAGAAAAACTGATAAATACTCAAGTCAAAAAGTATTTGAACTCAATATTTTATCTTTCCTCCAATCTGGCTTCAGGAAACAACATAACATAATGACTGCTTCGCTAAAGGTTTATAATGATGTTTTTGAAGCTTTGGACGATAAGGATTACTGTGCTGCACTTTACTTAGACCTGTCCAAAGCCTTTATACTGTAGATCATGATGTCTTATGCCACAAACTCTCAGACATTGGCTTTTCAGATCACACTGTTGGGTGGTTCTCAAACTCTTTCTCAGGTGGGAGGCAATGTGTTCCACATAACAGTACTTCACCTAGCTACCTAATGGTCACTAATGGTATGCACCAAGACTCAGTTTTAGGTCCCACTGTTTTTACAATTTATATACAGTACATATTGTAGGTCAAAACATTCCTGCTGCATCCTTTCTTCTCTATGCCAGCAACACTGTTGTTTATTGCCGAGCTAACACAGTTGTCAAGTCTAAAAAGTTAAGTCATGTCCTCTGGACATTCAAAACACAAAACAAAACAAACATAACAATTGTAGAAACTTTTTG